TTCCTTATTCAACCAACTACTATCAAGTGCAGCTAATTTGCCGCTATTTAAACTCGACAGCGTGGTTGTTGTTGTCAATTCTATACATCCATTTGCTTATTTGCTTTTTTGTATAGTTTCCGGCAGGCTCTTCCTAAACTATGTATTTGTCAATGTTATTGTGGCTCATTAACATTTTATTTTTAATATTTTTATTGAGCTTTGTACCACGATTGTTTATTAGGAAAAATTCTTTCTACCGAATTTTCTGAATTTTCATGACAGAAAATGATTCATTGTTCTATAAATTATATTGAAAGCCACATTTTTAAGATTTTTTTTTGATTTTTATTGTATAAATGAATTTTTTTATAAATACGATTTTCGAAATTGTTTAATAAAAATTAAGAATTTCGCAAGCGCGTAAATTTTAGCAAGGGTAGCGATCCCGATTTTACCGGAAAACTCGTTGCGTTCATAAAATTACATTCAGGAGAAATGCAGAAAAAATTATACAAAGTCCTTTAATTATTATTCAATTGACATTTCCTTTCATAAAATATTTCAGGAAGAGAAAACTATTTCAGTTCAGAACTACTTCTCCATCGAAAGATATTTTAGCATAATATTTTACCTTTCAATTTATTTTTTATACTTTTCAATTTGCAAAAAGAGCTTCACAGAGTGAATCTTTAGAATAATGTGAATATTTTCGCCAAAGGTGTTGCGGTTTTCTTCCATATACAAATAAATTGAGTTTATTCATTATATGGAAGCCAATGCGACAAAAAAAAATAAAAAAATAAAAAACTGTGTACTCAAAAAAAAATTCTAACACTTCCGAGAAAAAAGTTTTAAATTTAGGTGAAATTTTGTTGCACTTTTTTGTACTTTTCTACAAATTGTTAAACTTGGGTATATATGGGGTTTGTCTGAGAATGAACTAACTTTTAATTGAAAATTCTTAAAAATAAATAAATAAACATAAGTGGCACACAATATCACTTTGAAATGGCGTGCTATAGATATGACCGTTACTGTACGTACTCATATGTGAAATGTCAAATACGTGCGTAATAAATTTGTGTATGAAAATATTATTTTTAAATACGAAAATTTTCAAACGATAATCAAATACAAATTATTAATTTTTACTATGCATTATTTCCCTCAGTGTAGAACGCGTTTGCCTCTGGTGTCCGTGTTTGGCATCTCCACTCCGTGGCTCTTGAGTTTAGGTCTCCTGCCATCAGAAAGGGTCCTCCCAAGTTCATGGCCGTATCCTCGATATTGTCGAGTTTATCTTGGAAATCTTGTATGCTATCGCCTGGTGTAAGGCAGCAGCTTATTGTTTTTAGATGGTTGCATCTGGCCGAGATGAAGCCATTTCCATTTCCTTTTTCAGAGATGGGCATGTTGCTTCCGGGGGGGGGGGCCCCTTTTTTCTCCAAAGCCCCATTTTAATTTTTATTATACTGTTCGCTTATGATTACAAGGTCGTAATGCCGCTCAGTGATCATCTGTGTAAGTAGCGCATCTGCCATTTTAATTCTGTGCATGTTCACTTGCAGGACATTAATTTTTTGAACCAGTTTCTATATACCGAGCATATTATGGAGATTGGGATGTAATTCAGCTCAGTGTATTTGGCTTCTGCGCACAGGCAACATTTTGGTGGCTTGTTGCACTATTTTTGCTTATTCTACTGCCTGGACCTTTACAGCCCCCTATTAGATGTCCAGGACCAAACCAACGAAAGCATTTCTTGCAGTTTTCTTTGAGTCGCACTCTGCAGTTTATACAGCCGATTTGGATCCTTGCTTGCCTTATTATTATCTCAGCTTTTTCTTCATAGAGCGCTAAGAAGGTCCCCATCTGCTTTTTTTGCTATTGGGGGCGGGGATGTTGATCTTTATAGCTTTCCCGTATCCTTGCAGCATACTCCCAACTGAGTCTTCGACTTCCTCTTTTGCCATTAAAGAATCGAGGTCTTTTATTTCAACTGTGACCCTTGGCTTGATGTCTGCTTTAGTAGCGGTCTCTCGTAGGGTGCTCTTTAATGCCTCGCAGAAGCTTGGATTCGCCGTTAGCCCCTTCTCTAGCTCCACTAGTACCGCTTCAGCCCCTGTTTTTCGGATTTCCTTCAACTTGGCTTCATCACTTAATTTCAGCCTACTGCATATATTTTTCAGCACATCTGTGTATCTGTTTCCTTCTGCCGGCTTGATCCCTACCGCCTCTGATAGTTTTTAGGCTTAGTGAGGCCTTTTCGCTTTTCGTTTGCCTTCTTTTGTCGCACATCCTTTTCCGGAGATTTTGTTTTGCCTGGCGTATTTTCTTTCCCGTCAGGGTCTTCGCCCTTAAACTTCTTCTTCGTCATTAGTTTCCATTCCTCGTCCTTTTCACTGCGCGTTTTCAGAGTTGGCTGCTGTTCTTAACATTGGTGTCTGTCAGTTTAGCCGGGGTAGCACGTCCGATCTTTTTTCTTTCACTTGGCAGTTTCTGTGTTAGCTGTGGATGATATCGAACATTTTTTCTAATTGTGTGGTTTTGGCCGATGCTTTTGCATTTTTTAAGGATGCCTCTTCTACGAGTCTCATCTTGGTAATAAAGTCCTGTCGTAGAGAAATAGGACCTGATGATGTCGGGTGTGCAGCTGGCGAGGTGTTTTTCTCCTGTTTTTCGGTGCCTTCTGTTTCTGGGTGTGTTAATTCGACCAGATATGTTTTGCTTGTTTTGCTTGCATTTTTCCCTCCTATAGTAAACAATAAGTTTTTAATACAATATCGAAATTTTAATTAAATTTAATTAAAAAAAAAGTTCGTAAGGCTCCAACACATTATTAATTAATTTATTAGATTTCATTTTATTGACATGGACATTTTATTCTAAGGATTTTTTTCTTAAATATACTCTTTTTATAGAATTTCAGTATAATTTTATGTTTATATTTCTTATAAAATTTTGCAAAAAAATAGGCTTTGTGGCATAGCGAATAGGCATTGGCATTAGCAAATTTTGTAAGAAATTGGAATTCAACTTGTAAGGACCGCCGTCTCCGATAAGTAACTAACAAAGTATAATTTTTATCAGTTTTTTCATGCTCGCACCTACGCTTTTAAAGCGTCTGGCAAGATGCAGGAACTATCGAAACGATCTGGCAAGTGAGGAAACATCTTTTGATAATTCCCCAAGTGACATATATAAAAATCAGCTTTTATACTATGACGAAAGTATAACGTAAATTTTTCATGGTTTAAGGCTGTCTGACAGGGGGTAGGAACCATGGTAAGTGTTTGGCAATGAACGACGTGGTTTCTAATGTTATTACGAGTAAAATATATAAAAACTGACCTTTATACTATCACGAATTTGAGGTGGTATTTTATACACCTTTATTACCTGGTACCTGCCAAAGCCACGACTATCCAAATTTCATAGTCTAGGTTTGTTATACATAGAGAAGATTAATATGTGGCCACCTCTGAGACACTAGCTTTCTGATGCAAAAAGAACTAGTGTCGAAATCGGTTGACGTGGTCCAAAGTTATACGGTAACATACATAAAAAAAAACAAAAAAAAAAATATTCCGACGAACTGATAACCTCCTCCGTTTTTGGAAGTCGGTTAATAAAAGAAATGCCTTTTCAGGTTACAGCCTGTTTCTTAAAGGGTCGTAAACCGAACCTGCACCACTAAATTACTGCCCGCGCACTAAATATCTGCGTGTGAAACTTGACAATATTTTAAATTCTTTTCGATTGATACTGCACCAGTTGAGAGGAATTTCAGCTAAACATATGCCCTTAATTATTTTGTTTTTATTAAGGTGCAAGAATAATTAATTTTTGCATCGGGGCTGAAATTTTCGGATGTGTCCTCCTGACTTTCATCTTCACTTGCAGAAGCATCATTGCAAGATCATTATTTAAACATTATTAATTATTAGTTTTCTTATTTGCTGAGCTCGACTTTTTCTAGCTCAAAAGATATTAAATTCGCTTTGAATTGATTCCTATTTGATTTGTGAACTTGGCTGTCAACTTTTTCACATTTCATTTTATCTTTATTTCGCTGCGTGCTAATTTTGACAATTATCACAATAGCAAAATAAATATTGTTTTCGAGCTGACGACGGCGCACATAGGAGTATTTTCATAGCACAACCGGTAAAAATAATTTTTTGCGCTTTTCTGCTAAGTAATAAAATAAAACACGGAACTTAATCATAATAAGCCGTTTTTGGGGAAAAAATAATTAGACTTGTCTAAGGAAAAGTTGAAAAAAACTAGCCATGAATGCGGTTTTTTTTTAACAGATCTTTAACAAGTAGGTAATATTCGATTATTATCGAAGATCGATTCTTTTTATAGCTAGACGTTGAACAGTTTTGCTGGAAATATTGAGGGAGCTTACTCTTTGACTTTAAATAGCAAAAGAAGGGGGTCGTAAGGGCGAGTTTTACCACAGAAGTTTTTAGCCAAGGAAAATGTATATCCCTATTTAAAAAATAATGCCCGACAAGGCCCGGCGACAAAGCGCAAAGGCACAATTCGCATTCGCAAAAGTTACGCAATGATTGTTGCGAATGCGAAAGCGAATGTTAAAATTAATGCGGAAGCTCCGCGGTTGCGAATGCGAATGCGAATATTCGCAACAACCCTGCTACATGCATACTATATGCATGCGAACGAAACTGCCCATCAACACTCTAAGCTTTTTAGCTTAAGAGTAAATTTTAGTGTTTTGGTCTTTTTCACTTGAATTCTGGTTTAGTATCTTTAAGTAGTGTTTTCTTCTAAGCTTCTAATTAAAATTCATATAATCACACTACTACATTTTATTTCTTTCTAAGACGCTTTTATATGATTAAATAACAAATAACAATGCATCAACAACATTTCTATAGCTCAGTTATTAAAAGATGTCTTTTCAAGTGTTCTTTTAAGGCTGTTAAACCACAAAAACAACAAAAACGTATCTACTGATTTTGGCAACGAATTGCTGGTTAATAAAAGGCAAATTCTACGGCACACGGACATCAGTGTGCATAATTCGTTCTTAGCGGCGTGTTTTGTCATCACCAAAATGAAAGTAAGTCGATTAACGCGAAAGGATTACGTCAGAGCAAAAGAGGATTAATGTACATTTTATTTTTCAATTTTAGGTATTCGTTTGCTTATTGGCACTTAGTGCCTTGACGGTGTCAACCCATGCCGGATTTCTAGGATTACTTAAAGGAGGTGGCAGCGGTGGCTACGGTGGAGGCAGTGGAGGATACGGAGGTGGTGGCTACGGAGGCGGCGGCCACGGAGGTGGCGGCTACGGAGGTGGCGGCTATGGAGGTGGTAAAGTCATCAAAGTTATTACTACTGGCGGGGGCGGCTACAGCGGTGGCGGCTACAGCGGTGGCGGCTACAGCGGTGGTGGCTACGGAGGCGGTGGTTATGGAGGTGGCGGTTACGGCGGCAGCGACTACGGACATGGTGGCAGCTATGGCGATGTGCAAGTTTACAAAGTCATCTCAACATCCTCAGGTGGTAGTCATGGCGGCGGCTACAGCGGTGGTGGTTATGGCCATGGCGGCGGCGGTTATGGCCATGGCGGTGGCGGTTACGGTCATGGCGGTGGCGGTTACGGTCATGGCGGTGGCGTTCAAATCTACAAGATCATATCTGTCGAAGGCGGTCATGGCGGCGGCGGCTACGGCGGTGGTGGCTACGGCGGTGGTGGCTACGGCGGTGGTGGCGGAGGCTGGGGTGGTTGGGATAAGAAGAAGTAAGCTCAATAGTATCTTTGCCGAATAACCGCTAAAATCATACAGGTTACCTGCTAGTCGAGGGGTCGATTTAAAACAAAATTGACACTGCCATTTTTGGCGTTCTTCGAATATTTAATTTGAAGCGCTATGAACTTTTTTATGTACATGGAATTTCTTTCTAAAATAAGGGGTTAACGATTATGGGATATTTAGTGTTATACACTAAAGTGAAAAAGGATAAAATAAAAGTGATAAAATTTTAGTTTATTCTTTTAGTTTTATTTATATGTCTGCAAGCCCTACGATTATAGAACATACTGATATACCTTCAGAGCGAAACACCAATCAAAAAGGAACGAAATTCCAGAAGCCAATGGGCAACTGCTTTTACTCATTTTCTGCCCGCTGAAGGTTCGAATCACAATTCTGTTGACCAGTGAACTACTCTTCATATAAAACCAGTTTTAATATGAGATTTTTTCATGCACATTTTAACTGATTATTTAAATATGTATTAAATAATATCAAATATAAATTCTAAACAAATTCTTGTTCGCTAATCGAGGCCGTCTGCTTTCAGTTTTGAAATTGGTTTTTTGTGGATTCATCTTTAATGTTTGTTATGGATGATGGATAAATTTAAGAAAACAGCAAGTTCTTTAAACCAGTATGTACATTTGTATATACACATGTATATACTTAGTACATATGTTTGTATATTGTAGTACTTAGTCTAACTCATAAAAAATAAATTAGATTAGACATCTTCTTATAATTTTTATGTTTATAAGGCATTTCAAAACTATCTTATTTTTTATAAAATTGCAAAATGAAGTCAAGCTGTTTAAAGAGCGATAAACTGTTTAAACAAAACTTTTCTTATGCAACAAGCCCTTATGACTAATTCCATTTTTTTGTCACATTGGGATATCCTCTTCACTACAGCGGTAATCATAAACTAAGCATTTTGACTTAATTGTGAATTAGTGTCAGAAGTGACCAGTTGCCCAAGTGCAATTTTGTTAACAAATTCGTTTTGAAACTTGTCCTACCAAACAGAGTTTACCTAATAATTTTTTTGTTTCAATAAAATTAGCATATCGAAAGGTAACAAACAAAAGAAAATGAATAATTAAATTGAAAAAAAACATCGATGAAATTAGTTCGTAAATCACGAAGCGTTTCAGGTTATACTAATTCCATATCTGATTTTATAATGCGTAAAGATTTGCACAAAAGAAAACTAAGATCAAGCTTTTTTTGTTGTGCTTATATTTAGTAACTAGTTGCATTAGCCAAATAGATATTGCCAATGAATATTTATAAAATCAAAAATAACCGAAATGCCAAGTCGCACCAACGCTTTCGGAATTATATAAAGCATAATATATTATTTATTGTTGAACAAAAGAAATCTTGGTACACCGTCTTATTTGTACCTTCAAGTTAAAATTTTTTATTGAAGTAAAGTGAGATTAGAGTTTTGTTTTAATACTATTTCGATTCCATAGATATCTAAGTGAAAACATCAGGGTTTGTTTTTTGTATTTTATTATTGAGTCGATGTAGGTATGACTGTCAGTCGATAAGTAACTAAAATTTTAAGTAATGGGTACCTTATTCGGGAATAGGCATCTTGTTTGGCAAATAATGAGATTAGGTGTAATTTTAGCGGTAATTTAGAAGAACTACAGGAGAAAAAAAAGATGTCACATTTGTTTCAAACGGGGGTTGCAATTAGGCAAACGGCAATAAAGCAAAATTTGCTTAATGGGAAATAATACCAAAATCTGAGATTTGCTTTATTTTCAACAAAGATTTGCTATAGCACCATGCTGAATAAAACCATAATGACTATTTTTCCCTTTGCTCGTAAAAATAAAATCATAGTTTCAATATGGCATTAATTCCAATTGGAAACGGAAACAACGCCATTATGGTTTTATTGGGGTTTTGAAAATTTCTGTTTAGAAATAATACAAGTAAATTTAAGCAAAAAAACAAATTTGAGATCACCGTTAAGTTCTTCATGATCTAATGATCGGATCTTAACTAAATTAGTATGGGGGACCACCTTTCTTTTCGGTTAAAGTGGTATCCAGTTATATGCAAAAAAAATAATAATACATAAACAAAAAATATTCCGGCGAATTGATAACCTTTCTCTTTTTTTTTGAAGTTGGGTAAAAATAAAAAAAAACACTAACAGGTTTATTCTGCACGTTACCGAAGATTTGGATTTGGAGATTGGAAAATTGTATTACCAAAAAATTTTACCAGCTCTTGTCACCGCGATTATAGGTACGTTGGTATTGCAATTAAAATATTCAGCAATTCATGAAGAATCGTGGAAATTCTGGCATTGCACATTTCAAGGGGCAATATTTTGTTACCAGCCTATAAGATGGGCACTTACAAAATTGTATCGGTACTGTTTTTCCATTGGAATTATAAAGTCTATTGTATTTTAAGTCGTTCTCCAAAATATTTCGAAAAAAATTTATATTTAAGTGAGCTGGACCGATTTGAAAATCCCCCATGATTCAATAATACAAGGTTGTGTAATTTGTGACATCTAAAATTTGACACTCCTTTATCTAGATTTGTATTTTGGAAGTAGGAGAAAGGGGAGAATGTGATCGCCTTTTGCGAAAACGGTAGTAGAAAGGTACTACAAAAAATACGCAAAGTATACAATTAGAAGTAAAGGTGTATTATTAATTCTATGCGAATTTGCAATATATTTGGTGTTATAATGGAAATACTAAACAATACATAAAAATATGCATTTTTGATTTCAGTTATTCGTCATTTGCTGGAAGAAATCTAGAATACCGACCGCTCAGCTATTCAAATATGAAAAATGCAGATCAATAGAACTTTTTATGTTCATTTCAACCATGCCAAAATTATTTGGCGCAAGTGAAAAATGAATGTGAAATGAAGACGTAGAAGGTTAAAATTCAGTTTTTAGATTTTTTAATATTAATATCTTATGAACTATGTAACCGATTAAAAAATTAATGACGTCACCACCAAGACAATTGATTTGTCTTTCAGCTGACGCACATAATTTATAGCTTTTTGTATTTTTAAACCAAAACCACTAAAAAACGAACAAATGTTATTTTTTCATGAAATAACCTTTTTTGAAAAAACTGCATAATTAATGGTAAAGAAATTAATATTATTTAGAAAGTACAAGTTATTACGTTTAATTCGATATTACATATTTTGTCATTATCTACTTTTGGGTTTCAACAATTTAGTGATAATAAAAAATACAAATTAATAAAGTAAATAAACTCTTATATCTTCTTTATTTATTACCTGCGCCGAATAAATTTGGTATCGTTCAAATCAGCGTAACAAGTTCTATCAATCGGTATTTTTGGTTATTTTATAGCTAAACGGTCGCTATTCTACACTTGTTCTAGAAAATTACGCAAACGAAGGTGATGCTCACGAATATTTAGAATGAAGAATTTTTGGTTTTACTACTAATATCATTAGAAACTGTAGAGTAAGCAACATTCTGCACAAGTAAAGGAGCCGATTTTATGTGTGGAAGCGAGAAGACTGTTTTATTACAAAACCTTACTATTATTGAATCATGAAAATCCCCCAAAAAATGGAGTTTTATATGAATAAAAAATGACAAAACGGTTTAAGCTTAAAAAAATTACATAAGTATATATAAAAAAAAATTGAGCGGAATCATAATATTGAGATTTTTGATGCAGTGTTTAACTTTTTTTAAAGATTGGTATAAAAAAACTTGAATAACTGGACCTAAACTCTTCCGATTTAGGCTTAAGAGGTGTCATTGGAAAGGTATAATCTCACCCTTTTTATTTCTTTGCTAATAAGTCATTTAAAGGATGAAAGAGAAAGGTAGGATGAACGAATATCATTAAAAATTGAATATATGAAGTATTACAAAAAAAAAATTGGGACACGAATGACTTTTTTTTGCACATAAATAAAAATAGTGGGAAAATACCTTTCTACCGAGATCCCATAAGTCTAAATGAGAATAGCTTTGGCCCAGTTATTTAAGTCTTTCGTAAATCAATCTTTGAAAAAAGTAAAAAAAAAAACAGCATCAGAAATCACATTATTACGATTCCCTTGAAAAGATTTTTATATATTTTTATGCAGATTTTTTAAGCCTAATCTGTTTTGTTATCTGAGGGCACTTTTTTCAAAAAGTTCTTTAAGAAACAACTTTTATTCATAAAAACCTCAATTTTTGGTGGTGTTTTCAAATCGGTCCAGCTCGCTTAAATCTTAATATTTTCCCGAAATATTTTGGTGGACGTCTTAAAATATAATATATTTTGTAGTCCCGACGGAAAAGCCGCAACTTTTTTTTGGTGATGCAGTCTAATGTACATATACACAAATTAATTTTATCTTTTCAGACATAGTATCCATCCTAGTAGCATTTTATTACTATTATTTTTTCAAAATGATCATAAGGTCAATACAAAATGCCGCAGATTGCCATAAAGGCAAATTAAAAACGATTATAATGTCAGTTGACATTGTCACTATTTCAAATGGACATAAGGCCCCTTGATGTGGTCATAATGCCATTTTCCAATATGGCCATGGGTCTTATGTCACCCGGCCAAAATTTTGTCAAATGTAACATGGTGACTATGTACAATTTTTTACTTTATTACTAAATTGTAAAATTTCAAAGTTGATCTTCTTGCTCAACCAGAAATGAAATAGAAATGAGAAATAAAACAAATTTTCATTGTTGTCGTTTGCCTTATTTTTATACGCGAGGGCACTTGTGCACAATGAAAAAATGAATTGAGATATATATGGCGAAATGTATAGATAAATGGTTAGAATGAAAAGAGAAGTCGATTAAGCCATGTCTGTCTGTCCGTGTACACGATAACTAGAACTAAAATTAAAATATCTCAACGAAATTAGGTATGTGGGTTGCTCTTTATCCAGGCTGAATTTACTGAAGCTAATTCACTTAAAATCGACTATTGCACTAA